GTAAATATTTCTGGACTTTTCGTACTAAATGTCGTATGGTCATAGTGTTGTGGTCGTTGCATTGGACTTGATCTTAGCTTTTACATTATGACGATAAAAATTGCACACAAGTAAATAGATGACATTATTTTTTTATTAGATTTATAAACAAATTTGTGTGATTATTTGCCATTTTACTGTATTTTAGCTTTGCTTTTCTGTGTCACTTTGGATGACCTTGAATGACCTTCATAATAGTTCATTGTATTCGCCTCGAAACACTATCAGAATGTAAGTAAAAAAACTTATTGTTCCATTTAAAAAAACAGAATTGACCTTCATATCTCCTTGACGCCTCCGCCTACAGAAAAATTGGTAATGCCAAATTATATATATGAGCCCCCCGATACCAAGTAAGTTTGGTCTAATGCATTTTCTCCTATCTTCAAAAACAAGCGAGTTATTCAGATGACCTGTTTAAAATGCCCCACCCTGTATATTAATATTATATAAATATAATATTTTACCTTTGACCGAGTGCGGAGTATCGTAAATATGTGTTGGTAGAATATCGGTGCGAGTCAGGAATGACTTAGGCACAGGAGACCACGCTTCGGTAATCGGATGATTCATTTTCAACAAAATCAATGTTTCTGCCATCCTGATTTTCGTAGGATAATCTATGAAAATCGAAATTTCTATTAAGATCTGAAGTTCGGTGATATTAGCTGAATACACCTAATGTATTGTATTAGTATTGTATTAGTGATTCCAGAGAGAATGAAATCCTTCACAGAAGTGATAATTGCCGATATTAATTTCTCAAACACTTTTGCTGTTCAATAGGTACTGAATCTAAACCTGTCAAACCTGCTGCTTCTTTTGTTGCTGAAAGCAGTGGTATTCGGTGCTGGTTACTTGGGGCACAATGGCAACAAAGGGCGCGAGCTTGAAGAAGGTTAAAACCATAATAAAAATTATGGGTTATTTCACATTATTTTACTATTATTATGGAAACAATAGGTAATCTGCGGATATTTCTGTAAATTTTCATGCTTGCATCGAATAATTGGCGAACAATTTGCCAATGTTTTCAGAGTTGTTCCAATTTGTAGCATTTTCGAGAAAAGCATGTCTTCATTTTTCACACTTACTGTATCATGTAAAAACATCTCAAAACAAAAAAATGGGAGATGCATTGTAAAATTAGAGGATTGAAGCTTTAAAACGAGTGCAGGTTTATTGTTGCACGAAACTATTTTACGAAATTATTATATGCGACGAAAACGTTCTATTTTGTGCCACTGTGCTTGTTCTAATCAGTTTCATTATTGAATAATTTATTTTCCAGAAAGTGTTTTGTCTGAAGGGGAAATAGCTTTGGCTCTGGGATATTTGATGGGCGACACTTGTTTGTATAGAGCGGCCTGCGAAGATCCGCACGTTGCGAAGGAATACCTTGGAGCAGCAGAAATGCTCATCGAAACTGTAAAACTATTGCCACAGTAAGTGATTCCCTAGATCAACAGAAACGTTACTCTTTATTCGATCCTATACGAGTTTACAAAAGTTTACGTAATTCGAAGTTAGGACGCATCAATCCATACAGGGTGTCCCAAAAATGTCTCACCTCAAAATGTACTCTTTAATGTAACTTTTTCCCTAAAATTCATTTTTATGGCTACAAATGAAATTAGATCGGGAAACAGAATAAATCATAATTTCAAGTTCGCACTAAGCTATAGAAGGTTAACCCTTAGCACTCCGAACCATTCTGGACGTTGGCTACCAGATACTCAGCGCCACTTTTCGGCAGAAACGGGCATTTACAGACCCTCGTATTATTTAGTATGCTTTTGGAACTAACTAACATATTATAATGATATTGGACTTATATGAATTTGGCTGAAATCGAGAAATTTGCAAAAAAATCAATATTTTATTTTTTATAATTTTGTTATCGTTTGTTTTATAATTTTGTTTTGTTGTTGTAATCGCTATCTATGCGAACTCTTTCTCTCGTC